TCCTACCCTGGGGGTTTTTAAGAAGAGGTTAGATGAACACCTTGCTGGGGTCGTTTGACCCCAGTACTCTTTTCTGCCATGGCAGGGGGTCGGACTAGATGATCTTCTCAGGTCCCTTCTGACCCTAGAAACTATGAAACTATGAAAAAGCTCAAGGTGGAATTGATCCGAGTTACACAGTTTTCTGTAAGCGTAAGTGGCATAATTTAGATTGGTAACAATCAGAGCACACATTCACCTTGGAGCAGCATCAGGTTGTGGTGAACTTTAGACTAGGTTCTGCCATTTTTAAAACAGTCTATGTACGTTGAACTTCTATTCTGCTATGGGTATAGACCAGTTTTGTGTGCCAGACTTCTGTTCTGATATGGGTATAGACCAGTTTCCAAACACTTATACCAGTAACAATGTAATGTCTGTACCTGGCCATAGTAAACAGTAGGCTGCGGTGTGCCTGTAGACACAGCCCTAAGCGGGAGCACTACTTACACCTCACCAACCCAGGCACAGCCCCAGACAAGCTCTGAGATACCCATCAGATAGTTCACTCCCTGCTTCTCTCTCTGCAGCACGAGGGGTTATTGCTTCTGGCCTATTCCAGGAGCACTTTACACCACCATCTGTGCTGGCACAGCTGTGCCCTCCAACCTACTAGCCAGCCAAGGCAAGATTCCACCTGTTCTCTGCCCCCTGCCTGCTCATGTTTACAGGATTGGGCTCACAGCCTGGCAGCTCCCACAGGAATGCAAGGAAGGCCCCTTATCCACTGCATAAGCATAGAGTTTCAGTTGCAATATGCTGCGCAGGTTAAACAACTAATGAATATTAAGAGGAATTAGTTAGACAAACCCCAGTGAAACAGTTCTTCATCTTGCTACTTTTTTACAAAAACAGACAGTTCAGTTCTCAAAAACGTTCTCTGAAAACTTGCCTAGCTTTGTGCTAACTGATACACCCAACTCCTTGGCAGCTGACTTAACAGGCAGTCAGGGAACTCTAGGACTCTGAGGATCTACTGCAGGCACAGCCCTGCCAAGTGGATTGCTGCTAAGCAAGAGAAACTCAGAGGTTCCTGCTGTCCACAGCAGCCTCCCTGGAGGCTTTAAGTTGAGCCACGAGTCCTGCAAATCTGCTGGGTCAGTCAAGTGCTCCTGGCTCAACAAGTGGAATTTAAGTTTGAATTGAATTAAACTGTACCACCCTCCCTCCTGACACGCACACACGTTGGCTTTGTTTTGCAGAGAATATTGAAATTTGTCTTTAATTTTGATTTGGGATGAGAGCTTGAAGTTCCTGTGAAAAGGAATCAGCGTTTCTCCATCCAGCTCTAGCTGGGTGAGAGTGTGTAATGCTTGTTATGTTTGTCTGTCTTGCAGTCAAAGGTCTGTGTACATGCCCACATACTAGCTTTAAGCTAGTTAATTCAGGTAACAGTACAGCTCTGTCAGTGCAGAACCCAGCCAAGCTGCCCAAGTATTTATTCAGCATCTCATGCAGGTTTTAAAACCTGCTAAGCTCTGTGATGTCACAGCTGTGCTGCTACACTTCTTCTAGTTATCTTAAAGCTGGCTCAGACATATTTTATATCAGCCATAACTTTACTGCAGCCTAGCAATACCCCCTGGGAAGAGCCACAAAGTCAAGATTGCATACAACATGTAAATACAATAGGTAGAAAACATGTATGTCAGTGTATCTGTTATGCAAAGCTTTTGAATGTGAAGTAATTTTGCTGGATGTTTAGGATCCTTTGAAACAGTTTCTAGGACTTTCCTGGCTTGTTTATTCCCAGCTACTAAGTAAAACAGGGTAACTGGAAGGGAATGTAAGGAATACATATCCCAGGAGTCTCTGTTCTAGGAGGGTTGGAATAGTATAGGAAAGGCTTGTACTCCTTGATTAACTCTTCAAAGGGTCAGATTTACTGTTACGGGAAAAAATTCAGGGAAGTCTACAATGTGCAGCTGTAGCCTGTTTAATACTCAGATTGACAACGATGCCTGTATCAAAACTAGAGCAAGGTATTCCCATCACAAAAAAATATGTGAAACATTGAAAAAAAACATTTTCCCATTCAAGGTCACTTTTGCTTTGCAACTTTTAGATGTCACCTGTGTCTGGTTGCCTTCTGAACTAAATTGTCCTCTGCTCCTAGCTAGGATCCTGTTGGATTTTAAAACCCATCTGGACTGTAGCACAAGAGCAGAGGAGATGAAGAGAAGAGGCATAACAAGCTGTTTCTGCACCCTGGGCAGCCCTAGTTATGCTACTGGCAAGAACACTTCAAGAGTGGCCAAATACAAAATATTTCATACTTTAACAGCAAGACTGTAACAATCCCTGAGAAAAAAGGAAGAAAGAAAGATGTAAAGGTTTCCAGAGTTATCATCTGGAAGGCTTTCTAGGTAACTAAGTAGCAGGCTATACTGAACTGTTACTAGTGTGTAACCCTGCCAGTTAAATTGGAGGAAGTTTTAGGGTTGGTCTTCATGGCTAGCTTGAGTTCTGCCCCATCAAAACTGCTGATGTAGAGTGCTTTCATTGGTATCTCAATTGCATATCACTGCCAGGGAAGGGCTGACGCTCCAATACTTCTGAGCCTTTCCTAGCTGTCCTGCTAGCTGAGAGGAGTCGAGTGAGCTCTCCAGACACTTCCCCAAAACCAGCAAACTTCAGGCAAGGCTGGGACTGCTTTTGGTGTCTGCTCTACTGCCAATCAAGGGCAGCACAGAGGATGGACCTACGAACTAGATTGACTGAACTGTTCTAAGAAACCCCACAGATTAAGATATCGGCGATAAAGGGCCTGATCTGAAATCACAATGTTGGTCAAACTCCTACTGTTTTTGCTGGGAACTTTTCCCGAGAGAATAGTGTAGGATGAAGCCAAAAGCTTCTACTGATTACAGAATGGACTTCCTTAAGCAAAACTGTAAGAATCCACCTCATTATTTAGATCTAATTCCTTGGTTAGAACTAGAATTGGCTGCAAGCATTCAACCTTTAGCTGATCTGACATGAAGCCGCCGAGAGGCAGCAAGCAATTCATGAATGATGAGAAGGACAGATTTCAAATTAATTACAAAAATTATCAACAAGAAGGACAGATTTCAAATTAATTACAAAAGTTATCAGCTGAGATATTTTTTTTTTTTTTTTTTATCCAGGCTCTGGTGCTCGAGAGGACTGTACTGCTAGTCCTAAAGGGTCCATAGAATCAGAACTGAAAAGAACACAGCGTTCTTAGGAAAGCATCTGCTTAGGTCACGTCAGTGCTTCCAGTGTACCGTGAGTCTTTAGGAAGTGGCTGGTTGGGACTGATAAATACTAACAAAAGGATTCCAATTACAGGCAGCCTCTTCTACATTCCTTTTTATTTCTTCAAAGGCACACAAAGAGCAGGCTGCAAGGAGTGCTCCTTCAAAAAAAAAAAAAAGGAAGACAGAAAAAAGAAAAGAAAAGAGTCAGCCATTCATATCTAGCCTCTCTCCCAGGACTATTTTAACCCATTGCCTGAGCAGCAGCTCCTTCAGAAGCCAGGAGTCTGCAGAGGAGAGTCAGCCACTTGCG